CACATAATTCACCACTCCCTTCTTAACATTTAAAACTTTTATAAGCTTTTTTTCTCTGAGCTTCCATGATACCACACTTGGCAGGGGGTTTTCTTCCTACTAAGCCAGCTACCCACTTCGGTTATCCGTCCCTCCTCACCTCAGAACTCTGACTGTTGGAGTATTCCCAGGACACCAACCTTAGCTATCTTCTCTGCTGAAGCTTCTCCCTGAGTGATCTCGTGTTTTACCACAGCCTCACATAACCAAATTCGTACCTCTAATCCAGATCTCTCTCCCATGAGCTTTAAATTTTTTTATTGAGATGCCTACTTGAAAATTAGTCCATTTGACTAATTTTTCATTCCCCACTCTCCAGCCAAATACACCTTCCCTATGTCACCAAATGGTACCATCATAAATCCAGTTACTCAAGCCAAAAAACACATCTCACTTAACTTTTTCTGTTTTACTTCACACCTTACTTTCAGTCCATCTGGTCAGATATACTAAATATGTCCTAAATCCACCCATTTATTATCTTCATAGCTACAATTCTAGTCTTCTGTCTCTCACCTGAGCCACTATAAATGATTCCTAACGCCTCTTCCACCATTCTTGCCCCCCTACAGACCTTTTTTTTTTTTTTTTAAGATGTTATATATTCCTTTGAGAGAGCATAGGCAGGGAGAAAAGCAGAGGGAGAGGGAGAAGCAGAGTCCCTGTTGAGGTAGGAGCCCTACGTAGGGCTTGATCCCAGGAACTGGAGATCATGACCTAAGCTGAAGGCAGTTGTTTAACCGTCTGAGCCACCCAGGTCCTTCCAGACCTTCTTTGATGAACAAAGCAACCAAAGTAATCTTTTTTTTTTTTTTTTTTAACATTTTATTTATTTATTTAAGAGAGATACAGTGAGAGAGAGCATGAGCTAGGAGAAGGTCAGAGGGAGAAGCAGACTCTCCATGGAGCTGGGAGCCTGATGCGGGACTCGATCCCAGGACTCCGGGATCATGACTTGAGCCGAAGGCAGTCATCCAACCAACTGAGCCACCCAGGCGTCCCCAAAGCAATCTTTTTGAAGCATAAATCACATTATTATTCTGCTTAAAATTTATTTGACTTGCCACTACACTTCATCCCAGCTTCTTGGATGTGACATTATGACTGGCTGTGAATATGGCTCTTCATTCTTTTCCATCCTTAACGATAATGCTCCTGATTGGTTAAGTTTCAGAACCATTGCAGTAGATCAGTGATTCTCATCCAAGGACATTTTTGTCCCCCAGGGAACATTTAACAGTGTCTGTCATTTTTGGTTCTCACTACTCAGGAAGAGGGGTGCTACTGGCATCCAGTAGATAGAGGCCAGGATGTTACCAAACATTCTGCAGTGCATACGACAGCCCCTCAAACAACATGACATATGTCCACTCTCCCACTCTTTCACTCTACTTAGCCATAGTGGCTTTGTCTCTCTCTGTCCCTCAAAATATGCTAAGTTCATTCTTATCTCAGAGCCTTTGTATTTAAACTCCTTGAGGACAAGGGCCATCTTCCTTTAATTATCATTATATCCTCACCTTCTACAACAGTGCCCAATGCATAGTAGATTTTCAGTAAATATTTGGGACCCAACAGATTGTCTTGTGAATCAACTCAGGAGGGGCAGGAAGACTGGCCAAGTAAGGTTTCGCTGTCTCCAGACACTAGAAGGAAGAGTGTTTGCAAAGACCCAGATGTGAGAAAGACTGGCAAGTTAGTGCACAACAAAAAAAAATTCAGAGGGACGCCTGGGTGGCTCAGTTGGTTAAGCAGCTGCCTTCGGCTCAGGTCATGATCCCAGCGTCCTGGGATCGAGTCCCGCATCGGGCTCCTTGCTCAGCAGGGAGCCTGCTTCTCCCTCTGCCTCTGCCTGCCATTCTGTCTGCCTGCACTCGCTCTCTCTCCCTCTCTCTCTCTGACAAATAAATAAAATCTTTAAAAAAAAAAAAAATTCAGAATGATCTGCACGGTTGGAGCGTGGTGTTGAGGAAGAAAAGCAAAAGAAAGACATGTATTCTCTAGCTTTTATGTGGCCTGAAGACATGTTTAGAAGTTTGGACTTATATTTCAAAAGCATTAGGAAGTTATTGCATATTTTTAAGCAAACAAGTGTTTGATAAAGATTTGTATTTGTAAAAGATGATTCTGGCTGCAATGTAGCACATAAATTAAAGAACCCAAAGTAATCCTTTGAGACCTGTTAGGAAGTTACTGCAATGTCTAGACCAAAAGCTAATGGTGCCTTAAGCCAAGGTTTTGGCATTTGAAAGAAGTTGATGGATTTAAGAGATAGGAAATAATGACTTATTTGATATGAGGGGGTAAGTAAAAAATGATACCGGCTTTCTGTCTTAAAAAAAAAAAAAAGTGTGCGGTGATCCCATTCACTGAAATAAAGACTGTAGGAAAGGAGGTTTCATTTGGGTTAGGGGAAGAGGCAGATAATCTGTATTCAGTGTAAGAATGTTGAGTTTTAACACATGGTTTTCCTTCTATCCAGTATTAAAGCTGTGTCATTATTCCATGGTTATATTTGTTCCCATAGATCTTAAGTAATGTTTGTATACATCTGATAATCTTGTCCTGGAGATAAATCTGTCTTGTTTATCTCAAAGTAAACTTCCTTGGGGTGCTGAGTGGCTCAGTTGGTTAAGTGTCTGCCTTCAGCTCAGGTCATGTTCCTGGAGTTCTGGGATGGAGCCCGGATCCCCACATTGGGCTCCCTGTTCCGCAGGGAGTCTGATTCTCCCTCTACCCCTCTCCCCTGCTTGTGTTCTCTCGTGTTCTCTCTCTCTCTCTCTCTTTCTCTCTCTCACACACACACACACACACAAATAAATAGTCTTTTTTTTTTTTTTATGGAAACGTTCCTGATTGGTTCTCTGTCACATGGATAGTATAATTTACGATTGTGTGGGGGCACATTGATAAATGGAATGCTGAGAATTATTGATTAAGAAAAATTCTACCTCTGTCACTTTTTAAAATTGCATATATTTTGGTAATAAAAGTAATATTTATCTTGGCCCTAAAATAGCAGCCTTAACTCCCAGATCTTTCTTCCACTTGAAATGTTCAACATCAGCTAACTTTGAATGCCTCAGTTCCAGATTTCCAGGAACAATCTGATTGGTTGACTCAAATATCCATTCCTGGGGCAGTAAGCTAAGGCCAGAGGGACAGGCAGGGTCAAATAGACTTCAGAGCTGTCCCTACCAGACTGTGGAAATGACTGTTGCTCTAAGAATGGGGGAACGAAGAAATTACTGACATCTTCTATATTAATTTTTTTAAATTGGGATCATATTGCTCTTACCCTTAATATATCCTGAGGGTTTTTCTCTTTTAATGAGTATTCAGAGTTGGTTTTAATGGTAAATATTCAGTCAGCAATTCAATATAATTTTAAAATGATGAACTACTTACTTAGAGTCTAAAATCAAGATGCTGTAAACTTCAGGGATGCCTGGGTATCTCCGTTAGTTAGGTGTCTGCCTTCAGCTTAGGTCATGACCTCAGGACCATGGGATCAAGTCCGCTGTTGGGCTCCTTGCCCATTGCGGAGCCTGCTTCTCCCTCTGCCTTTCCTGCAGCTCCCCCTGCTTGTGCGCTCTCTCTCTGACAAATAAAATCTTTAAAAAAAAAAGAGGTGCTGTAAACTTCAGACTTTATAGTCTGTGCTGTGGAAAAGTGTCTATCATTTAAGTAGTTAAAATGCAGTATTAGGGCAGGTAAAGCACATAAACTGATTTTATTTACTTACATATTTATTTTTATTTTTAATTTTTTTTTTTCATATTTATTTATTTTAGAGTACAAGTGAGGGAAAAGAGGGAGAGAGAATCCTAGGCAGGCTCCCCGCCCAGTGTTGAGCCCAATGTGGGGCTTAATCTCAAGACCCTGAAATCATGACCTGAGCCGAAATCAAGAGTCCAGCGTTTAACTGACTGAGCCATCCAGGCACCCCAAGCATATACTGATTTTAAAGCAGTCCATATAAAATGAATCTGTAAAGGTAATTCTTGTTGATAAATTAAATTCTTTTTATGAGAATTTCCTTATTAAGATGAGAATTTTTGCTTCTGTGAAGTGTTAGAGAAAGAGAAAGCCCATATCTACCACTCTTATCTGTATTAAAATTATAATGAAATGTTGCTCGTCTCACAGAACAAAATCTGTTTCACCAGAACAAAATCATGACTATACTGTTTATCCTCGCTAGCTGTGTTCTAGAGATTGAGAAGGAACGAGAAAAAATGAAAGATTAATTTTTTTCTTACCTCCTTGGAAGAATGTTTTAAACATATATACTGTGTCCTATATTTGTGCAGTACATAAGGTGTTTATTACATATTTCATGTAGCTTTTTTGGCTTTAAAATACGTACAGGGTTTATTTGATTATTAATGTGAAAATATGCACTCTTTTGACATACAGTTTAATGATGGAAAAAATCTCAGTATTAATGTAATCATTGTAGCCTAATTCTTATTTCATTTACTCTAAACAATACTTTGTTCCTAGTACTTGGTCATGTGACATTATGACTGGCTGTGAATATAGCTATTCATTCTCTCCATCCTTAACGATAATGCTTCTGATTGGTTAAGTTTCAGAACCATTGCAGTGGATCAGTGATCCTCATCCAAGAACAGTTTTGTCCCCCAGGGAACATTTGACAGTGTCTGTCATTTTTGGTTCTCACTACTTGGGGAGAGGGGTGCTACTGGCATCTCGTAGATAGAGGCCAGGATGTTGCCAAACTTTCTGCAGTGCATACGACAGCCCCTCAAACAGAATGTCAGTAGTGCTGAGACTGAGAAACCATGAATCAGATGTAGTAAGATGAAGTCATGTGTCCCAAGCAAGTGACGTAGGAGGCTCAGGTAAATTTCTCTCTGAACAGTAGATGTCACTATAGTCCAGAGATTTCAGTTTATTAGCCAGGATTTCTGTGATGTCCTGTTCTGCTTCCTCAGATTCTGCCAGTTTTACTGAGATAACCAAAGACTGTGATGAGAATAAAGAAAACAAAACTCCAGAAGGATCTCAAGGAGAGGTCGATTGGCTCCAGCAGTATGATATGGAGCGTGAAAGGGAAGAGCAGGAGCTTCAGCAGGCACTGGCTCAGAGCCTTCAAGAGCAAGTAAGAGATGATTATACTGCTATTTTCTCCATACCTGTCTTCCCCAGGAATAACAACAGCTAATGTGTATTAAGCACTTACTGTGTGTCAAGCATTATCCCAAGTGATTTACATACAGTAGATCATTGATACATCAAAACAAACTTTGAGCTTTGCCTTGGGTGTGAAATAGAAACAGGGATGGTTTTTTTGGTTTTTGTGGGTTTTGTTTGAAAATCCAAATGCAATAAAATGTATTGTTGATAACCTCCCATTACTATAGTTCATTCCTGGCTAAAAGCAAGGTGGGTTAATAGAGATCATTCCCCAGTCCAAGTTTGTTTTGCAAGCTATAGAAACAGCCAGCGGACCACCATGATTTTGTCACTAATATTTTAAGGCATTGAAGTGTTCTCATCACTTTCTCACAATGTGAATCCTTTCCTGTGAATTATTTGAAAATGAAATTCTCAGGAATATTATCTGAAATTTCATATTTCAGCCATTGACATTTATCTGTTCTTATACAGTAATCTATTTTTTGTAAGATTTTATTTGTAAGTAGTTTCTACACCCAAAATGGGGCTCTAACTCACAACCCTGGGATTAAGAGTCGCACGCTCCACCGGAGCCAGCTGCGCGCCCCATATAATAACCTATGCTGAAACATTTAGTTCTTCATGCTTATATTTGCCAGACCTGGTTGGTTGCAACCATTGCAGTTGCCTGAGGTATCTGACTGAAAGGTGATGTCTTCACGGTTGTCTAATCCAATGTAATGCAAGTCATGTTAGTAGGAAAAGTTTACTAGAACTCCTTAGAATAAACACATTTTTAATGTTTACAAATAACCAGGTCAAGAAATCGCTTTTGACTTAGGACCCCTGCCTGGCTTAGTTGGTGGAACATGTGACTCTTGATCTTGGAGTTGTGAGTTCGAGCCCCTTGTTGGATGTAAAGATTACTTAAAAATAAAATCTTTTTTAAAAATCGAATTTGTCTAGAACAGTGGGGTTCAATCTTAACTACACATTAATATCATCTGGGTAGCTTTAAAAACTGCTGATGCCTGGGTTGTTCTTCCCCTCAGGAATTCTGATAGAATTGATCCTAGGATGTGGTCTGGGCATCTAGATTTCCTTCCTTTTTTTCTTTCTCCTCACTCCCCTGTCCCTCCCTTTCCTCCTTCCTTCTTGCTTCCTTTGACTCCCCCTCTCTGCCCTCCCTCCTGACTTGCTTTCCTCATTTTTTAAAACTTCCCGCAGTGATTCTAGTGTTTAGTCAAGGTTGAGAACTGCTACTTTAAAATGATTTCAGAACCAGCTGTTCTGTATCCTCTTATTTACAAGAAGTACCTCCCTAGCCTCCTGGTCATCAAGTTGCATTCATGTCACCCATTTTATAAATAATGGATAGTGATCATTTGTTTTAGAAAACTTATTTTTAGTCTAAAGACCAAGGTCTGATTTCTTAACAATAGTTCCTTATAGTGGAGAAAAGAGAAAATTCAGCACCCCTCTTCTTCATATACAAAAGACGGGGATCCTATTTTTTGTCAGCTGACCCAGTTAAAACTATCTTATAAACCTATTTCCATAGCTGAGAAATATAAGATGAGGTTTCTTTAGTTCGGTGTACCTGCATCATTCTGTTAACAGCTGGAAGACTCTTTCACCACCTGGGTTTCCACATAGACTTGAGAGCTGGATAAGTTTAATCATATTTCTTCTTAGAGAATATCTGTTTCTTTTTTGAATACACTGTTCTTGCTCCCAGGACTTTAAGGCAGAATAGCTCATTCTGAGCTTCCTATATACTTTAGTAACTTGAAAAACAAGTCTAGACTTGAGAAAAGTATTCTGCTTACATTACATTGTTTCTTCATTTATGCATGAAGTTTGTAAATTATATTTTCTCTGCAGATGAGAGGGAAAAATTTTTTACAGTCAACATTTCCGTATTTTCACAATTAGTCATCCAGTTGAGACATTTTCAAAGGTACTTGTTTTCCTAAGAGAACCTCAGATGTATTAAGAGAAATAACAGTCCACAGACAACGAAATCATTTTGTTTTCACCATGTATCTAGTATGTATCTTGTGTGGTTTTTTTGTTTTTCGTTTTTGTTTTGTTCTGTTTTGCCTGTTTGGTTTTTTTTAGCAAGAACAAAATAGAAGTGTTTGAATAATGGTCTTGTGGAAATACTGTTTGTCATACTCTCCCAGACTTGGGGCCAGTGATGTGCTGGAGCCCACACGCCATCAGCTCAGGCATACTCGCCACCTCCCAGCTGCACGCTCAGCATCCCTTCGGTAGCTTCAGACTGGCCATACGTAGTGGGAGTGTTTACACCATGAAAACTGGCAAAAGCTGTAAATTAGAGGAAAGAAAACAGAGCCATTTGCCAAGTAGATCCTGTTGTGTGCCAGGTATTTCAGACATGGAAGGAGAACGGAAATTACATCACAGCGTCACAGTGAATGGCTTTTGGTTAGCACATCAGATGTCACTGACTAGAGAAGGTCGCATGTAAGCCTTTTTAACCCCCAAGGTTATGTTTTAGAGGGCAGCATTGGAAAAAGCGGAGAATTTCTCCACACCCCTCAGAAAGTCATATTCCAAACATTCCTTAGGTTATGGAAAACATTATTAGAAAATACTTCCAGAACAGCTCGTTTTATACTCCTTAAACAAGTTTATTCAATACCTTGTAAAACCTTAGTTGTGTTCTTATCCCTTTAGGAAGCTTGGGAACAGAAAGAAGATGATGACCTCAAAAGAGCAACAGAGTTAAGTCTTCAAGGTGTGGAAATTATTTTAATTACATTGTTTTAATGGTGAAATGTATCACACTCAGAAAAGCATGTGAAATATTATTTTTAATGATTTAATTTTTTTAAAGTGTTTGGGGGGTTATCGTAGAAGCAATACCATCTCAAATATGCAGGATATTAAGTATAGTTCCTTTGTTTATTTGAAGTTTTCTTCTCCCTGAATAGATTGTTTCCTCCAGCTGCTCTGTCCTGTGTGGTTATTATGCTCTTTATATTTATTAGAGACTTTCCTCAGATACCATAGTCCTTGGCTGTAGGTTCATGATTAAGAAAAGGAGACTAAAAGGTTGGTTGGAAGCCCTGAGCACATGAAAGCTAGAGCTTGTCAACTCTGAGTTTTTACAAGGCAGAACTGTTTTGGGGATGATGTTAATATTATTTAGGCCTTTCTCTTGGGCTGGTCGGATTCCTAAAAAAGAGTTTTCTCATCTCTTGCCTTTGCCTAAAGGTAAAAAATGTGGCTGCCAAAGTTCGGGAGCCAAAGAGAGCATTAGGGCTGGAGGTCACATTCATCTGGCCGCATGCAAACTGTGGCTGCCTCCGCTGTTTTCAATATGTGCCTGACATCCCTTATCCAGACACTGTTTCATCCTCTCCAGAGGTTAAAACTCCAGACTTCTCTCATTGCTCAGCAGCATGAAGTGGGGAGAGAGGGGATCCTGAGAGTGTGTTTCTCAAATACTTTTCATCAAATCCTTATTTTTGTCTACTCCTTAGCCTCCAGTTTCAAGGGTACCTGGTAACTTCGACACTGTATGTCTTTTGAACAAGATGTAAATTGGATTGGTTCTCAGATTTTCTGTTACTGGCTTAGGATTTGGCTTTGGCTTTCCTAGGTCTGCTAAGTCAGGCACCATCCGCTTTCTAGCTTCCAGAATTCTGATGTTACAGTCTCTTTTTCTGTTCTTCCCATTCTTAGGTGTTCATGTCTTATAAATAACTCTATACTGTGATTTGAGTGGAATTAATTGTATTTTATTTTATCTTTTTTTAAAGATTTTATTTATTTATTTGACAGAGAGAGAACACAAGTAGGCAGAGAGGCAGGCAGAGAGAGAGGAGGAAGCAGGCTCCCTGCTGAGCAGAGAGCCCGATGCGGGGCTGGATCCCAGGACCCCGGGATCATGACCTGAGCCAAAGGCAGAGGTTTTAACCCACTGAGCCACCCAGGCACCCCGGAATTAATTGTATTTTAAAGCAAAGAGACACTTAAGTACAAATGATTCTGGGGTTTTTCTATTTGTTTTAAGATTTTATTTATTTATTAGGACATGAACAGGAGGAGGGGCAGAGGGACAAGCAGACTCCCCACTGAGCAAGAAGCCCAAAGTGGGGCTTGATGCCAGGACTGTGAGATCATGACCTGAGCTGAAGTCAGCCTCTTAACCAACTGAGCCACCCAGTGCACACCCAACCCTCACACCCCCGTGATTCTTTATTTAAAGTCATTCATAAAGATGGATTCTGCCAGTGGAAACACTTTATTAAAGAAAAAAGCAGATCTTGAATTTAGTTGTTAGTGTAGTGTGTTTTAGTGAAACTTAAGTTAAAGATTAAATTTCCAGGGAGACCTGGGTGGCTCAGTCGGTTGAGTGTCTGCCTTCCACTGGGGTTGTGATCCCAGGGTCCTAGGGTCGAGCCGTACCTCAAGGGAGCTGCTTCTCCCTCCCCCTGCTTGTGCTCTCTCTCTCTCTACCCCCACTCAAAGAAAGAAATAAAATCTTTTTTTTAAAAGGTTAAATTTCCATTGTATTTGTTAAGTTTCAAAAGATGTAATATTGAAGAACATGAAAGGATACCGATTTTTTTCACGGTCACTTGTCTGTATCATTTGTATTTGCTGGGAGCACCTACGACGCATACCAAGTACTTGAAATCTAACACACAGTTTATATAATGTGACATGTAGTGAAATTGGGTTATCTGTGAAATCATAATCCTTTTTTCAGTTGTATTCCTTTCTTATTAGCATTATATCCCTTTCATATAAATTTCTTTAAAAGAAAAGGGACATTTCTGTTTCAGATACCTGGTACCTGAATTGTTACTTCCCAGAGCAGGCTGGGTAAATTGAAATCCTAATAAAGTTTTAGGTTTCCTTAGGATGATAAAATAAGTAGCCCAAGCTGTTTTGTTGTTGTTTTTTTTTTTCCTTTCTAATCATATCATTTGTGTCTATTCTAAGAACTTTCACAATACTTTGTATTCTGCAGAATTTAACAACTCTTTTCTGGATTCATTGGGTTCCGATGAGGACTCTGGCAATGAGGATGTTTTAGACATGGAGTACACAGAAGCCGAGGCGGAGGAACTAAAAAGAAATGCAGAGGTAGGCTGCTTAACTCCCTCAGGAGGATTGCTCAGGCTGCCGGCATTACTTCTCCTGCTGTTTTTCTTCCAAGGCCCAACTGGCAGTGTCTGCTGTGGCAGTCATCAGATGCTCTTCACTTTCTCTTGTCCTTTGCTCATTTCTTCCTTTTTTTTTTTTTTTTTACACTTTAGATTTTATTTACTTATTTACTTACTTATTTAAGAGAGAGAAAGAGCCTGTGGATGAGGGGAGGGGCAAAGGGAGAGGGAGAGAGAATCCCAAGCAGGTTCCTTGCTGTACCCAGAGCACAATGCATGGCTTGACCCCAGGACCCTGAGACCATGACTTGAGCCAAAACCAAGAATTGGACACTTAACCAGCTGAGCCAGCCAGGCGCCCTGCTCCTCATTTCTTATACACAAGATTCAAAATAAAATGAAACAAAACTAGAAAGATATCCCGACTCCCTCTTGTGTGTGTGAGGTAGTAACTGAGTAACATGGCTCTCGATGTCATATATATATATATGAATTCACCCATAGTTCTGCCAGAACTGTATTATCTTTAAAGTGAAATAACAGAACTAGTTGGTTGTTACTTAGTAAAAACTCCTGGATTAAAGACATTAAACTAGAATACATTATAAACTTTTTTTGCCCTTCTTTTTTCTGAAAAATTACCTTTTTACCATTTACCAATTTTATAATTTTAATTACACAGAACTCCACTATCCTAATGCAACTACCGTTAACATTTTTACATATTATTTTGTTAGCCCTACCTCCAAGTGTGCTTTTAAAACGTCATAAGTACAGGGACGCCTCGGTGGCTCAGTCGTTAAGCATCTGCCTTTGGCTCAGGTCATGATCCCAAGGTCCTGGGATCAAGCCCCACATCAAGCCCCACATCAGGCTCCCTGCTCAGCGGGAAGCCTGCTTCTCCCTCTGCCACTCCCCCAGCTTGTGTTCCCTCTCTCGCTGTCTCTCTCTCTGTCAAATAAATAAATCTTTAAAAAAATAAATAAAACGTCATAAGCACAGTTTTTATTCTGCTTAGATGTAAAAGATTACTTATAAGCATTTTATTTGGCTGTATGTACTATATTGCCTCAGATCAACATACTGTTTATTTCATTTAATTTTTAACCACAAATATTTAAGTTTCTGTTATTCTGCTGTAATAAAGAATACATTGGGAGGTGTCTGGCTGGCTCAGTCAGTAGAGCGTGCAACTTTTGATCTCAGGGTTGTAGGTTCAAGACCCATGTTAAGTGTAGAGATTACTTTAAAAAGAAAAATCTTTAAAAATACATTGAGGAACTGTGGATGATTGTAATATTTTCTGTATTTAAGATTTTCTTCTTTGAGTAAATTCCCAAAAGTAAATTACTGCTTCAAAGTTGAGAAACATTTTAATGGTTTCTGGTTTACATATACCTATATTCCTTCCCCAAATTTGTACCTTATAGTGCTACCTGCAGTGCATGAATGTCACTTTCCAGGTTTTTACAATTTTTCTACTAACAGTATTTTAATAGCATTTTAAAAAATATTTAGAATGTACAAGTTTATCCGTAATCCCTGCAGCACCACTGCAGCTCTTTTCATTTTGTTCATTGTGTTTTCCAGTACTTAATCATTAACATACCTGCTTTTCTAGAGCTGTGGTTACTGTGTGCATTCATGTGGGTTTGAAAAACAAGTGAACGCGTTGCTGGCCCACTAAATAATACTGCCTTGCGTTGGTATCCCACTGACCACTCCACTGCTATTGGGCCTGTGGTTAGTTTCAACTTTTCATTATTAGAGATAATGCTACAGTGAATGATTTTATACGTGTACTCTTTTCTCTTTTCTCCTTTTGGAATTCTCCTTTGGAATTTCCTAGGATGAATTCTTAGTTGGAAGTAGAATTCTTGGGTCAAAAGGTTTGAAAAATATAAACACTGGATTTTTTTTTATTGAGTTTGACTACACACACACTGAAACTCGGCCTTGTTAGCTTTGATAATAGATTTAATTTAGTGTTTTGCTTTTATTCAAATGAAGAGTTAAAGGTCGTGCCCACTTGTGTTTTCCAGACAGGAAATCTTCCTCATTCTTACCGACTCATTAGTGTGGTCAGCCACATCGGCAGCACCTCTTCTTCAGGTAAACGGCCGCGATGATTTCAGCGCTTTACAAATGAGGTAGCCAGCATTTCCTCCCTGTTAGTTTGCTCTGTGCCTGTCTCCGTGAGCTAGAAGTTGAATGCATCAAGAAGAAGTTTTAAATCTTTCCTTTGATCACACTCAGTGTGAATTGTGTTGAAGGTGCAGCTTTCTTCTTTATTTATAAACGACCCAAATTCCCCTTTATGTTTGTATGTAAATATATATATGCAGACATATGTATTTATCCAGAAAGTTGTGCTGGTGTAGTATATTTCTCCCTTAAATTCCTGTACATTTTTTCTGAATGGTTCTTAGAAATGTTGGGGATAGGGTGGATGGGGGGGGCTGTTTCTCTCTCTCTCCAAAACTTTCTATACCTGAGAAAAATGCAGTGTGTTTTAATAACCACAATTTTAAGATTTTATTTATTTTAGGTCACTACATTAGTGATGTGTACGACATTAAGAAGCAGGCGTGGTATACTTACAATGATCTCGAGGTGTCTAAAATCCAAGAGGCTTCTGTGCAGAGCGATCGGGATCGGAGTGGTTATATCTTCTTTTATATGCACAAGTAAGATACTGCCAGGTCTGGAGCTGTGGGCTGAACATCTCCCAAACTCTTCTTTTTCCTTTTTTTTTTTTTTCCCCCCGTAAGGACAAATCAGTTATTAGTTGACAATTTTTGACTTTTGTTATCTTTGCTTAGGGCTTGTATGTTGATGTCTTTTTTTTTTTTTTTTTAAGATTTTGTTTATTTATTTGAGAGAGAGATCACAAGTAGGCAGAGAGTCAGGCAGAGAGAGGGGGAAGCAGGTTCCCTGCCGAGCAGAGATCCCCATGTGGGGCTTGATCCCAGGACCCTGAGATCATGACCCGAGCCGAAGGCAGAGGCTTAACCCACTGAGCCACCCAGGCGCCCCATGTGTTGATGTCTTAACTCCATGTTAATTACTTGTCTCACAGTAGTGTTGAGGTGTGGAACTTGAGACTGTTCTATAATAAAGCTGTCCTCTCGTAAACCTTCCAGTTACAGCAGCTAGAAGATCTGCGTTCCCTGGATGGCTGGGAACTACATAGCATTGTTACCAGGGGTAGCCAGTGCCATTGTGCCTCCAGTGTTCTCAAAAATCTGCACGTGGGGTTAAGATAGTGATCAAATAAATGAGCTGCTTATTTAATAAAATTTAGGCACCAAGTGGGATTGTGCAGGCTTTATCATTATCTTCTCTTTATCATTATCTTCTGTCTGTCCTTCAGTTTTGCTCACTGAATATCCTGTTTTGTTTCTTGTTTGTTTTTTTAAGGGAGATCTTTGATGAGCTGCTGGAAACGGAAAAGAATTCTCAGGCACTTAGCATGGAAGTGGGGAAGACCACTCGTCAGGCCTTGTGAGGAACAGACTCCTGGGTCGGCAGTGTGCACTGCGTATTCCTTCTTACTGCTGCCCACCTCACCTCACCTCTGCAGGAGGAGAATTCGGAATTCTACTTGATGCGGGAGCAACAAACAGCTCAGGGCCAAACCAAAAGACGAAAATTGCAATTATGTGGAGCGCTCCATGCTAATTGTTTTATGGAAACTTTGGTCTCACATCTGTAGCTGATAACCCTCTCTTTCTCCTACAAGAGTGGCACTTCCTTTTGTCTTAGGAATACATGTTGTAAATGTATGTGTGTGTGTATATATATATACATACATACATACATACGTATGCGCACACATACACGTGGAATGAATGGAGCCTTAAAGAGTTGGGATGAGCCACCGCAGTATGCCTGCTCAGAACGAATAGCACAGCAGTTTGGAGAAGAAATGAAGGTGTCAGAGTCCATTCACCTGAGAGAGGTGGAAAGATGTACATATCAGTTGGCATTTAGCTTTTCTGTTCCTTGAGTAGTTTCACTCAAGTCTATAATCTTTCATGTGTGTTTCTTATTAGTAAAGTTCACTGGAAATCCAGCTCTCCGTGTTACACGAATGACAGTTTGTCCTCCTTGCCAAGGAGAGGCATTTCTGCCGCCTGACTTGAGGAGCTTTTTTGTATAAAATTACTTCATGGATTTGTAACGCTTTTGCTGTTTACATGCAGTCCCAAGAAATGGATTGTTGGTGCTCTGGAATGGGTTATGGTCCCCTGTTTGGTATTCATTGTACACTTTGTATTTTCTTTAAAAAAGATATCCTTCACAGTATATACATTGTATGTCATCTGTATTATTATGGTAGTGAAGATAGAATCTTTTCCTTTTCTTCTGTGTCATTCTTCCATGGAGCAAGCATTGCCCTAAAAGATTGCAACCAAAATTTTAAGAGGTAAGAAAATAATATCCCAGTTGGGATTCCCCAGCAAGGACACTTGGGGATAAGGAAGAATGCTGGCATCTGTCTCTCATACATGGAGAGTTCAGTCTGAGGATTCTTGTGTGAAAGCTAAACACTCGGGACCGCGAGGAGCCCTACTGCAAGTGGGAAATTAAGTACGTGAGCTTAGGATGAAGCTTGAGCATTTAATCATTTGCTATCTTTCCCCTTAAAAACAGGATGAGAACGAGAATGAGATTGGTTTAAGTAATCTCAAGAACCAAAAGATAACAAAGGTGTATAATATATTCTGTCTTTTTAGGTGCTCTGAGTTGAGGCTAAGCAGCGGTGCAGCAGTCCGTGCCACAGTAGTCACTCCGCTGGCATGACCAGCGTGGATATTGGGGAGCCGGGGAAGCCACAAAAAGAATGAGTTCGAGGGGTGAATTCTGTCCACAGAATAACTTTGTAAGCCTAGGAATCATTAGGTTTGCACAGTTAAGTGTAGCAAAAAAACCTTCAGTATTTTCTTTCATTTTTTACTTTTTTTTTTTTCAATAAGGAGGGAATTCTTGGTTCAGTTCTGAGGTAGGGACAAAAACCACCTCAGTTTTTCAAGGGGAAGAAACATGTTAAAGTCCATCATCACAGGAGGTGCAACGTCTTTTCTAGAAGATCACCTTAAGAGAGCTCCAGACCCCACACTTGGACATGTTCTGACATAGTAACTTGTTCTAAAATTCTTGGTTTTTACATTGTAAGTGGCCCCAGCACATTGCTCAACTACAGATGAATGTTCTGCCTCCCGCCGTGTACCTACACACTACCACAGTGAATGTAGCGAAAGGGTGTGCTGGTCGGCTGCACGTGAGCAGAACAGAGCAGAGGAAAATACTTGGTTTAGAAACAATAGCTTTTGCTCGAAAATAACTGGTTTTCTCCCAGATGAGTGAAGTGGTGATCAAATTCGATAGCTAGTTAGGACTCTTCTCCTGCGTGGTTGCATTTGAGAGCTTTGAAAGGTGCTGTTAGAAATGACTGGAAACATTTTGAAGTGGGGATGCATTAGGGCATTAAAAAAAAAATAGAAATGATGCCATAAGCTCCATGCCCATGAAGTGCCCTCATTTGACTTGCTTTTTGTAGCGCGCGCGCGCGCGCGCGCGTGTGTGTGTGTGTGTGTGTGTGGTTTAGAAGTACTCATGGCTCAGAAACCTGGTTGGATTTGATCTTCATTTCTTGGGCTGGACTTGCTAGTTGAAAATAGGTTACTGAGGTAGATGAATTATCTTAACTGCTAATGTGCTTGCGAATTTGGGGCTTGACTTTTTCTCGGTAGCCGTGCATTGTTGTGCTCGTGTCAGCGTCCCTCCCTCCCCGTGCTCCGTTATCCCCCCTTTCACTACGCTTTAGTTCTCATTTGGGTTCATGACTACAGGTGGACATTTCAGCTGGACCGCATTAAAAGGGTTTATTGTTTTTTTGAGCTGGTTGTATATATTTAAAAAGTGTAAGTAGATAATATATTATTTTTTTGCACAGTATGATCAGTTTGCTCAGAATCGGGGGAATGGGGCATTTGATTGTGTTGGCGCTGGGAAGGGACAAGTCAGAGAGGGACAGAGTGCTTCAGTCCCAGGCAGCCTACCCAGTCACCTTTCTACTGAAAATACCAAAAATGGTTACATTACTTTAACTGATGTTGAATTGGAACTTGACAGCACTTACTTCTGCAGACAGCTGATCTTAACTGAAATTTTTTGGAAGGGAAAACTAAGCTAAAATTCAAACTTACTGATTCTTATCACCTAGTATTATGGAGAATTGGAAGCTGCATGTGGCCAGGTGGCTGCCGTCCCTAATTAGTAGCCATGACTGTAATTTAGGCCCGTGAGAAGACAGACTCTGTTTTGCGGGGAATGTATTTACAGGTGTGTGCACACTCATGCGCTTCGTCTCAGCAGGAGAGAATAAGAAGCAGCAAGTCCATGAATTGTTCTTCTATTTATATTTTGATTCCAAAAGCTATTTGTTTACTTGCCATGGGCTGTTAATTTCAGGCCTAACTTAATGGCTCAGTAACAGATGTAATAAATGTAAATGTGTTTACGTTTTTAGAATTGTACAGTGATACTTACAGAACAGCTGATTAACTCTGGGAGGCAAATACTAGACTACATTTCTTTACTTCTCTTCTTGTTCAAGTGTAGAATTCTTCCAAAAGAGAAACTTTAAGAATTAAAACCTCAGCAAGTGAATTCATGAATTTACTTACTCTTCCATAGTGCAGTGACCGTTATGTAACTCTATGAACATAGCTCTGCGCGTGTACAGCTACAGACACAGTCATATGATGAAAATGATTTGGAAACACCTGAGAGATTTTTGGCACATCTCTATAGTTGAGTGTTACGAGTATAGAGCAAGCTTGGGGGTGAGGTTTGGAAACATACAGAAAGAAATTTGTAAACTCATTCCTGATCTGAAAAGACTTTATATTAAAACAAAAATATTACTCTTCTTTGTCCTCTGAAATGACCACAGTGGATGCTCTTAGTCATCCAGACTTCCTTTTTTTTTTCTCTTTGCTTTAATTGGCAGCCCCCCCACCCCACACCCCCATAGGTGGAGTTTTAAATCAGGGAAACAGAGCTAGATCTCCCAAGTACATTTGGATCTTGTATATATCTGGAGATTTTTAGAAAAATCAACAACCCAGTACCACGGGCAATCCCGTTGAGTATCCCCCACGAAACAGGCGTGTCCTCTTCCTTCTCCCCATCTTGCTTTGCCACTGAGTAATGCTCCCTAAGTAGTACAAAAGCTAATGGATTTCTGCCATCTGATGTCTTTTGAATGCAGTACTTCAAAATCCTAATTTTGTCTCTGTTGGTATGTCTTATTAACATCTGGAAAACATACAGATTTTATTGGAAAACTACAGTTTGGTAGGCCTTGAGAGTTTTGTGACCTTTCTTTTGCTGTTGTCACCGCACTCACTGACTCCTTTACGGCATGCTTGATTACTGGACTTCTGGCTGTCTCTTCCGTTGTAGCATATTTATACACAGTAACTTTTTCTTTCCATGTGTGCTATATGTCTGAGGTTTTGAAATTTTTAATAAAAAGTGTGCCAGTATAAGTATAAAGCAGTTGATTTTAGTAACATTGAACTTTTCATAAAGTAAGTAATTAAGAGGTTCAAAGTATAGGCATGTTCACTGGTGAAACAGTAGAGGGGATGCAGGTCTGGATCAAGACCCAGGTTCAGAAGGTCAGACGCCAAAACAAGAGCATTCCACTGACCTGGCCGGTTTCAAGAACAGAGGCAATACGGGGAGTGAGACTACACACCTCCTGTCCCCAGGTTTCCCTCCCTCTCGGACCTTGTCCTTCCATCCCAGTTCCTCTGGCCTGTTGTCAGTGTTGTTTACTTATGCTATAGAGAGGAAGACAGGAGGAAGGGTCCTACACTTTGCCTAATTGAGCCACTACCAGATTTGCTGGCAGCTTTGGCCACATTATTTGTGAGGTGATTTTCTTTCTTTGTGTTCAGAGTGACTTGATTCTGATTCTTTATGTTGTTCGTATGGAGCGGCACTTTATCTGTGTTTTAGCAGAACTGTTCCTCTGTATCCTTTACGGTTTTTCCTTGTTTTTGTTTTCCTTTTTAAATTATGCATAGAGTTTTCTGTGTGTGTGAAATTAAAGCCTTTATTAACCTTGCGTTGGTTTGACTGTTATTTCTGGAAAGGACTTATCCTTGCAGACACTTAACCACCGTGTGTTGAGGTTGTGAAACCACTTTCTGTTGGCTTTCCGACTCGGACTTCCATGCGGCACCCTTCCACCTTCAAGAAAATGGAAGGGCAGACCGACAAATGGCCCTTCGGGGAGCGTGGCAGAGGTTCTGGATAACAGCTTAGAAACTCGGCGTTGGCCTTAGCTAAGCTCTTTGCCTTATTAGTACCAGACCGGGGGTGAAATGACCTCCATTCTGGACCCAGTGGGTGTGCTGCTATCGCTGGGGACCGGTTAGTGTTGTGAAACTTCCTAACAGGGCCCTTTCCCAGGCCATTCAGCTCTTGCAAAGGAGGGCCCTTTAACTTCTCGTCTTAAGTCAGTGAGGAGAGTATGTGAGAAAGAAAAGCCATTACTTGGGAAAAGATGTGAAACCACAAAATGCTTCCTTCCACTCTCATGGCTAAACATCAGTTACAGGAGGGAAACCTAGGGAGTACTCCTCAGAATTAGGATGTCCTGTGGAGTGTTCGCTCTTCTCTAAGAAGGGAGGCTCTAGAACAGGATGATCAAGAGTGACATACCACGCCAGAGTCAAAACAATGCGACCACCTGTTTAAGAGCTGAAATTGGGACGGCAGTCTCTTTATGGAGGTACCACTCTGGAAGAGTAGAGCGGTTGCTCACAGGTAAAATTTCACTTCAAAATTAGTATAGGACTAATATACCAGTCATGAAAACAACACAACTGCAAGCAAGGTAGGGAAATGCTCGCCAACCACAGCCGCTCCTGCTTCTCAAAACAGGCCTTTTTCTTTCTTGAGGTTTTGTTGCTTCCATCGAGGGAGGGCAGAGAAGGCAGTGGGTGTCATCCCAAAGGCCTTGGTGAAATCCTCGATGGACAGGTGTGCCTAGAAGAAGAGGAACCAGAGGGCAACGGTCACATTCCCCACCTCAGGGTTTACAGCGAGTCCTGTAGGTGTGGCAGAGCAATCACCTGAAGGACAGGGCAGGTAATGTCTGGAGACCCCGGGAAGAGACGGGGAGAAGCCAGGTGGTATGCTGAGCTCCAAGAAGTGTGATCCCTGAATGTGGAACATGATGAGCATGAACTAGACTGAGCTCCAAGAGCACCCTAGCTCTGCAAAGGGAATTGGGACATTTGGCTTCGCTTGGCTAGGGAATTCTCTAGCTTTGAGAACGTCTTAGTTTTCCTCTCTTTGAGAAAAATCTTCTCTGTAATGCTTTTACGGGGATGAAAACAGTATGACTCATGAAAGGGTACTGGAAACAAGGTATCTTGTTCATCTGTCTGTACTCAGTAAACAGTGACCCTAAGCGAGAGGATCCTTCTTCCTTTAAGTCTGGCCCACAGGGTAAGCAGATGAGCCAGGAAGGGAATCTGCCCAGGTCTGAATGTTTGAGACCCAGTTGCTGTCACCACAGGAAGGACACCCAGCTCTGCTAGCGAGAACCATGACCCTTGGGAGGGCCTTGGCCCTCCTGGGCCCTGCCTTGCTAGGGATCTCGGGAGCAGGCCGGCCACCCCAGCCCCCGCCCCAGCACCGTGGGCCCAGAGCAAACAGCAGCCTAGCTAGCGTGCAGATACAGCCGTGGCACTTGCAAAACCCCTGGCCATTCTGAGCAGGAAACAAAATATTTGGGTGACTTCTACCAGCTTCTCCCAACCTATGAATGATACAGAAGCTTGGCTAGCACAATTCTACCTTTTTACTGTTGACTTAGCAATCAGGACTGGAAGACAGCTTTCTAAGCCAGGCGTCTGTATCTTTCTCCATTAGATGAGGGGATTGCCTGAAATGACCTTAGCCCCCCAACAGGTGATACTGCTTCAGGCAAGCCAGGTATCCTCAAGGCACACTCAACGTGAGAACCCCAAACTGAAACTGCACCCAAGAGCATCTCCCAGCCTTCATCTCTGCTCCCCAGGCACCAAGAAGGTGGTTAGAGTCATGGGTTTCTTTTCAATACGAGCCCCCACTCCCGCCGCCCCAGGACAGTGTTTGATCCAGCTCTGCAGAGAGCCCGTAACTGAACAGTTCAGACAACCTCTGTAGGTGGACTTCAAGCTCCAGTTTGTAGCAGAGCCTGGGCCCGGGTCCCTCACTGCGGAGGCCGAGGTCTGTCTCTGGCCCCCGCCAGGCTGGCTCCACAGCTTGGCCGAGACTTCTGGACTCTGACCCCAAAGGTGGATAGCAGGAACTGCCCATCCCAGTGGACTTGTATCTTTCCTCTTGTCCTGCTCTTGGACTCTGTGGTCCTGCCAGCTGATTACTGGCCTCACCCATACCCACATCCGCCTCTCTGCGGCTTACTCACTGATACTCAAACACCCAGATTATCCTCTTGCTACTGCCTGCAGCCAGACCCTGCGCCCCACCGTTCCCTGTCGCGGGCTCCCCTCCGCGTCTGCAGCGCCACAGAGGTCTGAAGACCCCTCCTACTCTCTCCACTTAACATTGACCGACGGCTCTCCCACAAGAACGTACGGGGCGCCTGGGCGGCACAGTCGGTTCAGCATCTGACTCTTGGTTCTGGCTCAGGTCATGATCTCAGGGTCTGGAGATCAAGCCCCACTCCTTGGACTTCGCTCTAGAAGAGGAATCTCTCGGGATTCCCTTCCCTTACCCTCTGCCCCCGCCCCTTGCACCTGCACTCGCTCACTCTCTTTCTCTCTCTCAAATAATGAATCTCTTAAAAAAAAAAAATACAGCAACAGACTACTGACTTTTTAAAAAAGATCTTAGATTTTGTAGACTGTCTACCATGATGGGGGTGTCTCGATTCTGTTGGTCCCGGTCAGAATTCACCATCCGTTCAGCCTCCGCTCAGTCACCTGGTTCAATGACACTGGCTGCACCGCCTTTTAGAAACATATCAGGCTACGTGACACGATGGGAGCGGCAGGATTCTGAGGACCGGGCTCTGAGGACCGGGCTCTGGCTCTGCCTCGGCTGCCCCGTAGCTATGTCAGTCACATCAGGCCGGTCACTCGCCCTCCCTCCAGTTTTCCCAGGTGGTCATAACAGCTTACATTTACGCAGCACTTCCCACGTACAAGGTGCTGGGCAAACAATATTCACAGCATCACTGTTACAAAAAGTATGTTGGGGTCATCTCCACATTCCGGCGAGGACACAGATGGGTCCATCGGGGAGAGAATGCATGAACATGGCCGCCAAGGTGAAGGGCAGGACACAGATGCTCTGGGAACAATACACTTAAACATGTATGGAGCCCAAACCCATAGCAGACTTGTTGGAGAAATCGGGCATCTCTCTTCTACAGATTCCTTAATTCATTAGCAAGATTTCTTTATGGTTTATCATACCCAGAGCACATTGTCTCTCCATCCCCCCATGAAGCTAGATTTGTCACCCATTTTGGATTTTCCTATAGTGGGAGTGAATATTGGAAATGGGTGTTTAACAAGCTCTCTTCTTGCCACACTCTCTCTGCACGAGTGACACACGTGGGTCTGCAGCCGCAGCCACCAGGAGGACTGCACGCTGGCGGGTCTCTGCCTCAGCAGGTCTCTGAGTAGCCTGGGCACCAAATATGCCTCACCCCGGATGTCCCCACGTACCTCAAATGGCATGGCTACCCTCAAACTCACGGTCGTCCCCCTCTAAGCTCAGTCTGACCCCGGGTCTTTTTATCTCCAAAAATGATTCCCTTCCCTCCTCCCCTACCCACACACCCTTCACCCAGTGTCATTGACTTGACCTCCTAAAATTCCTCTAAACCACTTCCCTTCCTCTACTCCCCCAGCCACCACCTACCTACTCTAGATTACTTAAAAATAAAATCTTTATTATTTTTTTGTTAACTTTTTAAAACTTTTTAAAAGTACTCTCAGCACCCAACATGGGGCTCGAACTGACAACCCCGCGATCAAGAGTCACACGTCCTACCAACAGAGCCAGCCAGGGGCCCCTATTGTGGTCTTTTAAAGGCATAAACCTGACTGCCACTCCCGCTGCACCCCTGCTTCGACCATAATGGCTCCTGTCCACTTTCAGGACAGACACCTTATTCCCTAACGGGGCATAGCAGACCCTGCTCCATTAGGCCCCCGGCCCCTCGGCCTGCTGCTCTCTGGCTCCGCACACCACAGCCACGCTGCCCTCTGTGCCCATTCCCTGCCTCCGGGCTCCACGCACGCTGTCCCCTTCTCCGGGAATAATCCATTTTGCCTGAATAGTTCCTGGTCACCTTTCAGAAGGAAACCTCGGACTGAGTTAGCTTCCTTCTTGGAAGACCGTTCACCGCACCTGTACGTCACCTTTGTGGCACTCATCATCACTGAAATGAAATCATAGTGTAATCAGGGTCCTTTGAACCCTCTGTCCCCACTGAGAGGTCCCCTCACGGGAAGGAGGGGACCAGATGTGCTCTGTTTCCCAGCACATCCCCAGCACCTACTCACCTAACCGTCAGTGTTGTGCAGCCCACGGCCCACCAGCTCTCTCCACCCTCCCCTTAGAGGCTGACCTACCTCCTTCCTGCTGGGGTCCACCCCCTCGGGGAGCTCCTCCACAGGCTTGTTCACCAACTGCTCCAGGGGAAAGATGGGTAGAGGCCCAGAAACGAGGTTGCTGTTCATATTGAATGTGTCCAGCTTAGAGCTGGCGATCTCCTAGGGAAGAAAAGGAAACCACTGGTTCATTCTGTGGGTTTGGGGCTCCCTCCCAGGCTGCCTTTTTTCTCCAGAATCAGCACTGATTCTAGGGCATCTCCTCCAAGAAGCCTTCCGTACCTGCCCCCACCTGCCCATACACACACTCCTCAGAGCACAACACCTGCTTGACCTGGGAGCTACAACTTGGTGGTTTGTATCCAACCAGAGCCCGTGGGTCCGAGATGATTATTTCGTTCTATGACTTATGAACTTCTCTCCATGGCTTCCCACAGATGTTCAAGGTCCACCTTGGACGTTTATGACCCTCTTTCTCTTA